ATATATATATATATCGTTACGGAAGAGAAATATGAGAGGGAAAAAAGTTCCTCCAACCGGGATTCGAGTTCTGCTGTCTACAGACGCCTTAACCAACTTCTTTTGGAATTTAGATCAGATAAAAGCTACTAATCCTTCAGCATTATTCCTTAATGCATCGCATCCGAGTGTATATAAGTGAGTGTATTTGACATTTTTAGGTCTATAACGTATATTTGTTTTCTTCGCTAGGTCTACCGCAACGTGGAACGCCTGTTGGTGGTGAAGAGGCTATGGATACGTCAACAGCGAATGATTCTTTGAAACAAGAAATCGAACGATTAAAGAAACAGAAATCTGAGCTGGAGTTGAAACTCCAGAAATGGCGGGATTATGAACATGTGTTCCCAGCAGATGAAAATGGTAACGGAAATGAAGACACTGAAGCGATTATTAATCTCAGGAAAGAATTGTTGTTTCATAAGAACCATTCGATTGAAATTGAAGTAAAGAATCATGTTTTAGAAGCAGAAGTACAAACACTAAAGAAACTCAGTGAAATCGTTGCTAGTGGACCGAAAGGCAAAGGAAAAGCGACCGAGAATAAACTACGTGCTCAGTTGTCCGTAATGCGCACAGAGGTGGATAACATGCGTCTACAGGTGGGTCAATTGCAAGTTGAAAACGAGCGCCTGACGGAGAAACAACTGGGCATCTCTCCTTCCACGGACGACGACGACGATGTTGAGATGAATACATGCCCACCGGCCGCCTGTAGTGAGTTACTTAAACTACAAGAAAATGTCACTGAACTCGAGGAACAATTAGGTTAGTAGTGACACGCCATGTAGCACCAGCACATTTATATTATGACGTATCCTCTGTGTCTCGTTTTCTCACGCAGTTCGACTTCTGAACACTTTCTACTACTGACCGAAAATCTAGTACCTGCTACTCACACTAAAACATTCTCTTTACTCTTACTCTTTTTGATGGTCTTCTTGCATGTGCTTTGTACTGTAGTAACTTTTGTTTGCCAGTTAACGTCTCGTGGCACAAGTCCGATTATTTCTTTCATTACGTTACCTTATTGGTTCAACGACCACTGAATATGCAGTAGACTTACAAATATATCTCATCGGAGATGCAAACCTTATATAGCATGAGTATGCATTAATGATGTCATAGTGATTTTTCAGCAGATCAATCTAATATGGAAGTTATTTTAACATTTAATGCAGAAAAAAAATAGAGTTAACATGAAAATAGTGGCGTAACAAAACTATTATTTCTATGTTTTATAGCTACTTATTTATGTATCGATTTTAAGAACTCTTTAGAGGAGAAATATTTAAGTACAATCTACTTCGGTCTCTGGTTTGGCGTGCAAAATGAAGTTTAGCTACTTTCGTTCCGTCTAGCTAGTGCACTTGTAAATTTGAAGTGGTACTAGATGGAGACTGTGTCTGTCATTTCTGGACACTCACAGAGATTAAAATGTAAGCTTCCCAATTTTAGATCCAATCAAGTGTAACCTTTGAACTTGTTTAGTTTGTCGTTTTCTCAGATTAAAATCGGAACGGGTTTTATCACGTGATAATATGTAAGTAGTTCATGTAGACATGCATTATGTATCTGGCTTAGCAGATGAATACAGGTGAGATTGTGCCTTTAGAATAAAATCGGCCTACCGGGTCTAATTTACGAGTTCGGATACATTAATGAAATACGGCTTTTATATTGAATACAAAACTGACCTCAATTGACGAGAATAAAGTTCCCCATGTTGTGCGAAGCACGTACTGGGGATTACATTTGCTTCCTTTTCTTTAATGATTCCATCTTCGATTGCATAACTTAAACATTTTAGCTTTACTGCTTAATATATATGAAGAGGGTATTTTATTGGATAATCTAAAACCTCATCGATATAATCCTATAATAGTTATATTGACTGTGTCCATTTTTAAAAATAGAATGAAACGATTGTAATCGTTATAGTAGAGCTAGGTTTTTATCAAAGTGATTTCGAGTTCTAAGAGTATACTTTTGTCGATTTTAAGGAATATTCGAAGCTGTGTGATTTGTGTGATAGTGTTAATAACATGATATACAATCCTAATGATTACATCCTAAACTAGTTTTGTCTTTCACGTCAAAATATTGATTTACAAATTCTATATATAGGGAGAAAATTTAAATGGTAAATAAATAAATAATTTAGTTCATAGATATTATATCTATGTTTAGATGATCTATTTATGCATACAATATAAAGTAGATCGGGACCGGCGATATTGATACATTTTAAACACGCTTAGGTTAAGTTTACTGGTACACTCATATCAGCTAAATATAACCTGTTTGTAGAGCAGTCTTGGTTCTTTTTCTGTAGAGTTAGTTGAAAGAAAGACATCATGTCCTATTATCTCGTAACTTATGACCTCATTCGGAAAATAGAACTTGGATATTTTTGAGTTCAGATCTAAGGATTGTTGATTGGATAAGCACCATGATTGAATGTATATGTTGTGTCATGATGTTCATACTTGGAAACTATGTTACTCTGAATGTATAAGACCTCAACTTCTGTGACAGTTTTGCCCTTATTCTTCTTAGCGTTCGTAAGCAGCACTAATTAGTCGTGATGCCAAAATCTTGCAGAAAATGTTCTTTTGTAATGAAGTTGCAAGGAGCGCGTTTGTAAAGCAGCGTTGATTGGCCGATTATTATGTTAAAGATAATGAGGTAAACTGTCACAAAGGTTCAGTTTTTGATTTTTTTTTTCTGTCTACTGTACTTCCATTAATTTTCTGTTAATTATACTCATTTCTTATTGCGTAATAAATGGATATGTGCTGCATGATTTTATTTATCGTTTGCACGACTGTTGTCTGTTGTTTTTTATCGTATGTTCGCATGTATGACGTAAGTAACTTTTACCCGTTACATATATATTTTGTCTTGTTTTTTGATAAACTGTATTTCTCCAAATAAGGAAATTCGGTACTCGCACTAGTATACAAAATTGACAGTAAAAATATTAAAACAATGATCAAATGCAGTAAAATAATAATTACAATATGGAAGGGAGATATCAAACAACAGTCATTAAAACATAACAGTCACCAAAGCAACAACAGCAAAAAAGGTTAAAAAAAACTATAATATTAGTTTGAAGTTATTATCTAGATGTGTATAAGAGACAGGTGTGTGTATTTCCATACAACTAGACTAAGACGTAAATGCACTTATGCAGCAATCTCTAAAGGTTGTTGAGAATTGTTGTTAATTATTGGTACATTGCCAACGTTTCCGTTGCTACACGTTCTCGATATACCTGCCTCAAGAGAAATACGCATTGGACAACAGAAATATATAATCGAGGGCATGTTTGTTCCTTGTACGGACAAACAAGCCCCTACAACTAATATGCCTTTTGCTGTATGTTTAGATAACTTATTTTAGGATGGAGGGGCAAAGCGTCTGCAACTGATGATAACAATAACGTATGTTAATATTTGATGCTGCTAATATAGGCCTACTGCTAGGCCCCAAAATGTCGCTGCAATTACTTCTGCAAAAGTAGTGTATCAATGATATTAATAGATTGCCACTTTTAATTTCATATTTTTCACAGTATTCTAATAGTTAATATTTCATCTTTTTTTAAATGTAGATTTGACTAAATTAATAGAAAGAGCAAACTAAATTGTGTTAGACCTAATTCCCGAGACAACATGGTATTAATAACTTTGGGTCTACCGTATTAAAGGTTCAGAAACAAAATAATTATGAACAAATTCAGATATCACGCATGCCTTCAAATTTAATATATCATCATGTTAGGGTAATATATTATTCCTTGTATTATTTACTATGAATACGTAGTAATTTATTTGTAATCGTCTGCAAATGAAACACAAATAATATAAATGACCATGTTGAAAGTAAGTTTGTTTGAGGACAGGTTTATTCTCTTTCCATTAACTGTAGGGCAGGTTTGGGGGAAGTGCAACATCATATAAAATGGTACATTATCCCCTCGTCCTAAGCCCAAGGGACCGTCATAATTCCCTAGTGGTTGCCCTGCTCTTGCGTTAAAGGTCGCTTACATTTAGCTTCATAATCCAATTAATTATGCTGAACCATGATATGTTAGGCCAATTTTCTCTGCTCCCTCATACTATGGAAGTATTTTATTCATAAAATAATGATGATAAATGATGATGTTGATGATATTAATAACGATAAAGATGTACGATAATGATTAGAATGATGATGACGGTTAAGGTATTGACGGCGACGGTGACAAAAATTAATAAATTAAATTAAAATCTCAATACTTAAATAGATACAATACTATTGCCTGTTTGTTTATAAAGATCTTATATTTCTTTATAAAATTCAAAAATCAATTGTGAAGGCCAAATTTTTTTAAAAGACATGTTGGACAACTTTCTTTTTTTAAATGTGCTCCAGGAACTTTAAGATGTAAATACAGTTATTTGCTCTGTAAGAAGTTCAATAATTTTATTTTGTTAAAAAAATTGATGATGTTATAGCGCCCCCAGCAGAGTGTCGCGTGTATCTCAATGAAGCTTCCCGTCGTTTTTTGTCACTAATTACATTATGTCAGTCACTTGCTTCAATCAATCAATCAATCAATCAATCACTTGCATCAATCAATCAATCAATCAATCAATCAACCAATTAATCAATCAATCAATGCAATTTACATTGCACCAGATATCCAGAGAAACATGATTAACCATTATTGTCGTGATTTGTTACCATCAACTTTCTCACTTACACCATCACTTATCATTTATCGTATCTTCACCCCAGCAAACAGGGTAGCAATGATGTGGTGCTCGGGGAGGGGGAAGTGGTAAGTGGTTGGGCGTTCTTCTGCTTATGCCTATAAGCAGTAGACTGCCATTTTAAATAAACAAATGTACAAAACTGTCGCCCTGCTTCTCATTCTAAGTGATCTGTTGTATATTTTTCCTAATATGGGGGTTTCCCCACCAACAGTGATGATTATTTTGGAAATCTTAATCTTAGCTTATAAGCATCTCCTTTATGGACTTTTCCAACTTTAGCTATTCAATTAATATTTTGCTATAGCCATTTTATTATTTTTATTTATATCTCGAGCAATTGCACAGAGTGAGTATTGATTGCATATAATATCATCAATTAATTAGGAATTGTAGACGAAAAGCGTAATTATCACGTATATGCACCGTCAAAATCATATCAAAGTAGTCTAGGTCGAAATGTTGTTGTCATCATGTTTAGAAATGACTCATCTTCAAAGGCATATGACATTATTCGAAACACTCTCGATCGCCTGCTGGGTTGCATTAAAATGCCCCGCCAAAACAAACTAGTTTCTCCACAAGCGGCCTAATCATTTCATATCATATTTACACCGGTCAGGAAAGACAGTACAAAACAAGACTTGAACAGGCCAATACTTTGTCTAAATTCACAGGTTTAGGATAGCAGGGTTAGGTTTATGACTAGATCTTTGATTCCGATAATATTTAAGCTACGGTTTGGCCTAAATCTGTTACCATTATCTCACACCATCTAGATGAACTACAACTCATCGTAAGAAGCAGAGAGATGAATGAGGAGAAGTACGAGATAGAAGTTCAGAAGGTAAAGGAGGACATGACTAAATCCAATATGGTGGCTGCTTCGAAAGAGTCGGATCTTCATGAAAGAATACGACAACTGACCTCAGACAACGAAGATCTGAAGCTACAGGTAGACTTGCAGAAGTCACAGATTGCTGTCAATAACGCACATATAGAGAAATTGAAGCATTCGTCGTCTGGTCATTCAGAATCCGCGCCAGATGATGTTTTTACTGACAAATCACATTCATTAGAAGTCAAACTGAACTTTGAGGTAAATTAAGTCATTTATATTCAATTGACTATAACACTAACACAGCTTGTTATAACAATTTACTTATCACTGCAACCAACGCATTATTGCAAAGTAGACCTAAAGTAAATCAACACATCTACAACGAGAGAAGGGTTATTATAAGGCTTAGCTTTTGAATATATGGTGATGAGGATGCTGTATTATTATTGGTATTATTATTATTATTATTATTATTATTATTATTATTATTATTATTATTAATGTTGTTAATTGTATTCAATTATAATTAATGATGCTTATAAATTATAATAATGATGATGATGATAATAATAATAATAATAATAATAATAATAATTACGAGGATGATGATGATAATAATACTGATGATGATGATGATAATGATGATGAGGACGATGATGATAACGACGATGATGATGATAATGATGTTGACGATGATGATGATAATTTTGATGATCGTGAAGCTGCTGCTGATGATGACAGTGATGATGATAATGATGATGATGAATATGAATATGAAGATGATGATGATGATGATGATGATGATTATGATGATCATGATGATGAATATAATGATGATCATGATGTCGATGATATTAATTAAAATTATATAGAAATAATATATCCAAAGATAATTGTGATTTTTGAAAAGTTATCGTATGTTGTAGCTTTAACTGTACAAAAATAATTGTAAATTAAAATATATCCATACAGTAATTATAATAATGACGATAATCACGACGATGAAATTGATGATGATGAATGATTATAATAATAATAATAATGATAATAATAATAATAAATAAGAATAATAATGTAGGTTAATATCAGTATCGAACAAAGTCTGAAGACTCATATTATAGTGTCAACGTGAGTGATCTTCTTGAAATAGATTGTGGAACCCACAGCAAGTTATAGACCTAATCATTTTTCAACCGCAAGTAGCAAAATAAAAACACCCGTCGAAAACAAGTTCGTGAGCTTGTTAGTGAGTTAATCAACTATGACAGCTTGTCCCAATTGGGAAATGTGTCGTCTGCTACTATTTTCAATTATTGAGGGCGCTCCTTCATTAATTACACTAGCAAATTACATGAAGTGTTTGTTCGATCATTTTGACTCGCTTTTTAAAACATAACAATTACAAAATATTCTTTTTTATCCACAAATAATTCGATGTCAAAGTAATTTTTCTTTTAGTAGAGAAGGAGGCCGATTTGCTGCCGGTGAAAACTATAGGCATTTTTTGTTAGTCTTTAAAATCATTAACTTTGACGTATTTTATACAATTGGTACTGTTAACTGATATACGATTTTACCTCTAGGCGTATACAACTATAGTCATTGGTAAGGTATAAGAGCTTAAAATCATAAAATACTGGCCTTCCACGTGTACTCAAATTTATTGTGAACCGACACTGTCCTGTTGATATCGCTGCTAAAATAAACAATGAACACGTCTTTAAAATCGAGAGACAGCCATTTTTATGTTATGATACTAGAATTGTGTTTGGTGCCCACCAGACTTTGTGCAGGCTGTTAGCCTAGAAAGTAAATGACTTCACGCCTCGAATTAATTTAAGCCTACCTACGTACTGAAATGCTGATTAGGCCTACCGACGGTAAGCGATACTAATGACGGTCGCTGATGGAATTTATTAGGCCTAATATCCTGTCATTCTTTACCTCAGTATTTCATCGATAACGTACAATGAAAATAATGTAAGATATATGCTTACTTTATTGAATTGACGTTTAAAACAGATAGGTACATCCTGTTGTGTAGGCCTATGAGTATTTGCTTTTAGTTTCTATAAGATTACTAAATGAAAGAGTGAGTCCACTAGGCCTCCTGTATAATGTTAATATGTTCAGAATGGAAATAAAAAAAAGAAATAAGACTTAAGACTTCACTTAGAAATTCTGGGAATAGTTTAACCAATTATTTAAGTTAGTTTATTTTAGCGTATGTAAGTGTATAGGATTATAGTGTCCTGGGTACGACGTTATAAACTGCATCCGGTCGAGTCGTCGGCGACTAATTCCGGCAACCCCATCTGGTGATCTTTAGCGGCCGCCGATGGAGGGTGGATGCACACCCAGTAGCATGAAAAAAAAAAGCCAGCTGAACAAAGGACGGATGAACCCCTCGGAGCCAACGGCCAACCATGCCTTAGTTTTAGGTTTTTTAGTTACATAAAATAACATCTTTTTATTTTCATTTTTTTTTACATTTAAAAAAAAAACAACTTTTTTTTTTTAATGTCAAACTCAAAGAGCTCAATCACCAAGCGCATATCGGCTTTTTCGCATGATGCGCTATACAAATCCAACTATTATTTATTATTATTAAGAATTTATGTGACAATCACGATAAACATGAGAAATCGTCGTCCTTTATATTTTAAACGTTTGATTATTGAATTAAGATTTGTTAATCAGTCTTGACATATATATATATATATATATATATATATATATATATATACATTATATACATATATATTTATAAATTTATTTATTTATTTATATTTATATATTTACGCAGGCCTAATTATAATTAGTATAAATATTTGTATTAATTTCTATTTACATATCAATGTGTCAATGTTTTGTAGCGGTGTCTCAAAGAAAGGATATCACATCTAGAGAAACAATTGCAAGAGGAGAGAAAGCGAACTCGTTCATCTTTGGATAGCAAACCGGATGTTGTAGGCGAGACGAACGGTGCTGTCGATCAAGAGGACGATAGAAGCCCCGGCGGCAGAGACCGAGAGAGGGAGTTGTTGAAATTTGAGGTATGAAATATGTCTTTAACAATATTAATTCTTTAAAGTCATCGATTAAATAAAAGTGAGACTTAAATGACAACTTATTTTATTATTAATGTAGGCCTACATATATTATTCCTGTCCACGATTAAAATGAACCTCCAATCTTTTGATTGGATGTCACGGCACAGCGCGTTCCTCAGTTAAGCACACACTCACTGCTTCGTATTAGTGCGCGCGAGGAAAGTGAGATAGTTTTAACGAATTTTACTTATTGTCATGACTGGCTGTTACAGAAAAGTTTTTAATTCAATGTCTGTCAGTGGTTTACCACTGGACACGCTCACTACAATTAGTTTAAGGTTTAACAAGTGATATGTTAAACCTTACAATAATTAGACATCTGGGTTTTTAAACGAGTTACTGGACCGCACAATATTAATTATTTAATTTAATTAGACGAAAGTCAAACACTCTTCGTGCCAGCCATTTACCGACATTTCCTTCCATTATTTAATTAACGCTACTATTAAAGAGGCCTACTATGATTCGGTATTATAAAGGCCTAATTAGACCCAGTTGTGTTTCTTATCAAGATTTATTTCGCAAAAATTTACGAAAATCGATTGCCATAAAATATAAAATCATAGTAATAATTTACAATTTAAAACATAAATTTTAAAATATATATTACAATCAATGATTATAAAAAATGTAATATGAATACCAAGATATTGTTTCTAAATTTATTTTAATAATGTTAATGCATGTATAATAACAATTCATTTTTTTCTGACGGTCTGCAAGTTATTATATTGTTTTGCTTCTACTAACTTGGTGATAGCATGTCTGTTGGATTTTAATTTATTTGTATAGGGCACTGGGGATAGACCAGCTGGAATGGTTACCGGTAGCTAATATCATACATAATTATTATATACCTTGTTTAGAAACGCCATTTTGTTTAATATTATGGTCATTATAACCATTTTCATTATTTTCTAAATTATATTTGTATTGTCAATATTATCATTATGATTATTATTTCCATTTTGTGATGGATTTTTCTCCATTAGCTAAATGAGAGTAGCATGTTGTTGGAAGACATGAGAAAAGAACTTGAGGACGAGCGAGAGCGTCGTAAATTGGAGAGGGCAGAATTTGAGAAGAAGCTAGCCGAGGTTTGTAATACTCAGTATTGTCAATGAGGCCTAAAGTGTGTACTATATACAGGGTTCGGACTTTAAATCCTAGACCTAAATGTCTGTATAATTAATGTCTTTGTATAGAAACATATATTCCCAAAGTGTGACATAGGTATATATAATAAAATGTATTTTCGTATGGAGATTCCCTATAGTTATAAAAAAAATGTTTGATTAATTTCTGATGAAAACATTATATTGTCCCCAAAGCCCTCAAACTCTTTATTTATGTGCTTTAACCATTGCATATTATATTACCGACATGTAATACTAGGCCGAGAACAGAATAAATAATAGTTTTATTTCCCATAATGTTATTATTTTAACAGTTTTGCTTACCTTTTTTAAACTGATAGTCTAAAAGTAACAACCTATTAGTGCAAGTAATTCCAACATACTTTGTGCATGGGCACTAGAATAGAACTACGTTATTCATAAAGTATAGAATTATATTTATTAGATTATTTTTATTTTGCAGTACATTTTATGCTTGACAAGATAACTAATTATAAAATTGATATAATAATGAATTTTATTGCTATAAGTTAGAAGAGGTATGTGTTTCGTCTGATAAACTAAAGCTATGCCTTACTTTTAAATAAATGCTATCTAATTAAGATGTAAGCTAAGAATTTCACTCACAATTTTTGATAATAGTCAACTTTCGAAAAATAACCCGTAGCTCGCATTAAGCAACACACTAAACAAGGAAACAAATATTAGACTTAGTGTGCCAATAACAACTACTAACGAACATAATTCTAACATCTCTTCCTACCATGCACTCGTCTGACTTGGCTGTGACGACATCGCATGCGCTGGTTACCATAACAACTGGTCGTCATCACGAACTTGCTGTATTTATATAACTAACTATAATGACAAACAATAACTTCGAGCAGTATTTCAAGCAGAGTTTTATATCACAGGCGGCGGAAGATAAGAAGCGAATAGAGAGGAAATATATATTTGAGAAGGAAAGTGTAGAATTACAGAGGAAAATGGAGGGTTTCAATTGGAAGAAAGAAAAAACAGATTTGCTAAGAAGAATGGAAGAATTCAAAAAGAAAGCAATAGCACTACAAGAAAAGTTAAACAATAAAACTGATACGAAACAGGTAAAAACGTTTCTTATCATTTGTCATATTATATTGTCAAAAATAATTAGATAAAGAGCAGCTGAAGTGGCTGTGACCCTTGAAAATCCTTTTAAATGTTAAGCTGGGCTTATGTCGCCCTTGCGACTCGACTCAACTCAACTGACATCAACTGATTTTTGGCATCTTGCGAGCAACTGAGTCGCGTGATTGAAGGCGAAATAAGAGCTGCTTGTGGTCTCTAGTTCAATTCCATCACAATTCTATTTGTGTTCCACGTAGCCAGAGGGTTGAAATGCAAGTTGCGATACAGCAACGTCTGTCGTCTGAGCCTGTTAGAGTAATTGGTTCTTTGTTAAATTTGTGTATCTGAAGGAAGCCAGTACAGTCTTCGAAAAACAGCACGCGACTTTGCTAAGAACTCGAGGCGGTCTCAAACTTAGGCGCTGTATAAATTATTACTAATGTGCATATGATTATTATATGCCCAGTACATATTACAAAGGCATCTGGGGGTTCACATTATTTTCCTGGTCATTGAAACAATGTTTATGCTCCCTTGGAAAGTATTTTATACAGTAATAGGCCTATTTCGCGAAGTGTCATTCGAATCAACCAGCAGGTAGACCTACAGTACCATCTTATACTCTTGGGTTGAGAAAGTGCATTTTACTGCAGTTAAAACATGACACTTAAAATAATTTCGTGTTTATTTTCTTTATTCAAAGTCTCCGGATGAGCTGTCCAAGCAAATGCAAGATTTACAGCACATTCGTAAACGACTCGAGAGTCAGCTCGCAAAGATTGACACAGAATGCTGGAAGTACAAAGATCAAGCAGATAAGGCTATTAATGCAATACAAAAGGTGAACAGTTAATATATTATAGAGTGTGTAAGGGAGGCAGGAACGGATACATGATAATTAGTGGGGATGAAGTGTTCATCCTCATTGGGAGAGATTATGAAGTATATAGAGTAGAACACCTTCTTTAGGATACCCCTATTAAGGGTACACCTTTTTGGTCCCGAAGGTTGTCTCATTAATAGGGGTTTTACTGTACTTCATTTTATTTATTTATTTATTTACTAATATCTTTAGCCAGGATGACACAATCATTTTAAAGAAATGTTTTTCATTGTGGTCCTGGAAACTAAGAACGTACATTGTCAATAATATTATTAACAACGATAATAACAATCATAATAACAATAATAATAAACAACAACCAAAAAATAATAATGTTAAACAAAACACAAGAGAACACACCCAGAGTCAAGCATTAATAATCATAATCATTATTTAGTAACCCTTTTCCTCCCCAATTCCACTTTTTTTTTTCTTTCCTTTTTTATTCTTTTTTCCTCCATTTCCTCTTCAGAAATCACGAAAATGGCAAACGCGCGCCCCCGCTTTTGAGATGACGCCGCCATCACTACCGTGTACACGCAGGTACCTCAAGCGTCAAGCGTCAAGCGTCGTGACAACACCCCTTCCGTAATTACTTACTCTTTCAGTATCTTCCCTAATATCTCTCTTTCTTCCTTGTCATTTCCTAGTCTTTTACCTTATCGTTTTGTTCTGAGTGAATACTTTTTGTCTTTAAATTAAATTTATTATTATGTTTTTAACAAACATTTCGAAAATTAGGGTAACTATGACAGTAACAATTCAATGCCTAGGACATGGAATAAATTTTAAAGTAGGACATTTATTGTCAATAGCAATATGATATATTTAGTAGCTGATATCTGCCGAATACTCAATTGCTAGTGTTTCTGTCATTTGTAAATAAGATCGTGTTTCTTTGCATATCTTGTCTACTTAGGATGTGATTGATTTCGCGTCCCATACGTTGATCGCGTGCTTTGCACGGTTTGCATATTTTCGCAATACAGGGTTTATTTATCCTCAAGATGAATTAAAGTAGAGTTTATATCTAATCGTTCTTTTGGTACTTTATCATCCCACCACATAGCTACACGTACGTTTCATTGCTGTTTAAATTGAACCTCCGTTTTATCTCCACAGCTGACGGTTGAAAACGAAGAGTTGCAGGCGTCCAGAGATATATTGAAACAAGAAAGGACTCTTCTTCATAACAAGCTATCGACACTTCAAGTTGAACATCGGGAAACAGATTTGAAAATTAGGAAAGAACGCGAAGAATGGGACATCGAAAAACTACAATATTTGAAACAATGCAATGAAAGCAATAATGCTGATCAATTTAAATACACTCAGGAGCTTGAGCGATTAAAAAAAGAGAAGAAAAACCAAGAATTCCAAGCCAATGAAATGGAAATTAGAATTGAGGAACTGGAAAAGAAAGTTTTTGAAAGAGAGCAGAGGATTACTTCAGTTCAGGGGACTTTGCGACAAATGGAAGAGGATTGGGCAGCGGAAAGAAGGAGATTAAATGAAAACTTTGAGAAGGAGTTAAGACTTCGTGCGCATGAAAACAAAATTGATATGGAGGAAAAGGAACTGGAAGTTCGATGCAAGATTCGTGAGATTGGAGAATTAAAGGAGAAGATGAAAGATTATGAAAAAGACAGCTCAATACAATTGAAACTAATTCAAGATCTAGAGCGAATGCAGCAAGAAAACGAGGCAAAATGGAATAACGAGAGAAAAGAATTGATTAATCAAACCCGAAAAACGGACACGGAGAAGGTGAAAAGTCGTCAGGCCGAAGTAGTAAGCGATGGTGCGCGAAAAGCTTCTGGTAGCAAGTCGCGCCAAGTCGCATGGGAAAGTGAACGCTCTAAGCTGGTTGCTGATATAAAATCTCTCTCATCTACGTTATCTAACAAAGAAGAATCTTGGAAGGCAGAGAGAGTGAAATACTTAAGTGACATCAAAGATCTAAGACTTAAACTTCGGACTATTGAAGATATATCAGAGCAACGAAATACAGAACTTTGTGCAAAACTCGAAGCAGCAACAGAAATGTCTCAGTCATTAAAAGCAAATGAAAACTCGTTTAAGGACGAGCGTCAGCGCCTTATGAAGCAGGTACTAGTATTATTATTAATTTATAGTAACATTGAATAGTAAAATAAACAAAAATGTATTATGAACTTAGGGAAACGCCGTATGTTTTGCAATTCTGTAAAAAAATGGAATCCAATTCGGTTTTGTGTAAACGAATAGACATTTCTTAAATTTCCTTAACAAAGAAACAGGTATATTTCTTGAAATGAAAACCTTGATAATTGAACAAAAAAGATGTACCGTAAATTGAAAAGAAACACCACATATCTTAGAAATAACACAGAAGATTAAACTAAGACATGTTTCAGAACCCATGATCATCATTACAGAACAGAAAAAAAAAACCCAACATAAAACCAAGCCCTTTCCATCTGAACTATATAGTTCATCGTTATGCTGCGTAGATTATCTGATACACTAGTTATTAACGAGCTGAATAGCTATGGTAAATATATGAAAATGTATTTCAATTATCTTGTGTTTTCTTGATTATTTTTCTGGTTGTGTATATAATGTATTTATATAATGATAATCCTGCTATGAGTTTTTTTTTTTCTTGTTTATTTCATTAGATTGAACAAAAAGACAACTTAATTGAAGAGGTGAACAAAACGGCAGACACTTTACGTGCAACACTAGATTCTCAACGTGAGGAGCTGGACAATACCAAAATCGAAATCTTGGAGAAACATCAAAGAGAAGAGAAATTACTTCGAACTGAAGCGGCCGCCCATAAGTTTCGACTTGAGAGTGAAACTAAATTATTTAGGGAAGAGAGCAAATACTTGGAAGATCAGATGCAGTACGAAATAAGGCAGCGAGCATTTTACGAAACGACTTCATTGGAATCTAAGCGAGAGGTGGGATCCATTAAAAGCCAACTAGAGGTGTTGAAAGTCGAATTAGCGACGACAAAGGCCGATTATGAACGAGAAGCTCTGATAGTAAGTCGTTGTTCCCATTTATTAATTTTGGTTCAGTTATGACGCCAATTTAATCAAACACGGAATTAGTCGAATAGGTTCGTTTTAATTTGCATTGTTGTGTTAATGCACCAAGATTAGTCTATCTCTCAAGATGCATACTGGCGTACACAAATTTCTATTTTCATTATCATCTCCATCATCATAATCATCATAAAAATAATAAAAATAATAATCATTATCATCAACATTTCCATCAGCAAAATCATCAGCATCCTCATCCTCCTCCTCATCATCATCACTTGCTATATTATTTGGAGACACTTTACCGGTATTGAATAGAGTTATGATCTTTCGTTTTTAATGATATTGCAAATTTTCAATTTTGTAGGCTAAAAGGAGCAAGCAGTTATTGGAAGAAATTCAGCGAGAGAAGCGAGAAGTACATGGTCAGCTAACTGCGGAAACACAACGAGCAGAAATTTTGCAGAAACATTATGTCGACGATAAAGCTGGGTGGGATATCATGCGCAATGAACTTCAGTCAAAAATTCACAGGGTAAGGTTTTGTTCATCGTTGAACGTACATCACCATTTGTTATCGTTGTAGAATAATATCATGAAAGATTTTGTTTTATTTTTTATGCCTTAGCTGGAACAACAAGGAAAGAAAAAATTAAAACACGATGAACTTGAAGCAAGGTTGAAAGGGGCATGGGATAAAGAGCGAATTGAGCATCGTCGTGTCATCTCGGACCTCCACAACAAAACCATCGAGCTACGTCGTCAAGTTGAAAATAGTGCGGTGAAGTGGCACCGAGAAAGAGCTGCACTTCAAGAGAACTTCGGGAGGGAACGAAAAATTCTCGAAGATGACCGCCAGAAAGCTGAGAGTCGAATAAGTGAGGTAGGCCTTCATAATAATATATTTTACTGTGCATAGGGATAGGACTAATGGTGAAAAATTACCTGTAAATTAATAAAATAAATAGTATGAAAATATACGAATTGCCTAAAGAAATTTCTTACAGCGAACACCACGCTATAGCTTAGTTCTCAAATAATATAGCAATACACTGGTAGAGAGAGTGGGTTGATGAATTTGATGTATGCATTAATGGATAAATGAATAAGTGATGAAGAAACGAACAGACGGACGGATAGAGGGATTGTGGCTGAATGGATGAGTGGATGAATAAAGGAATTATCGGGAAGACGGACAGACATATATACATATAATATAGAGAAGAATTTTTTTTTTGTCATTTGTGGGATCGTTCCACTTTTATTTCTTTATTTATCAATTTGAACTCATTACAATAAAAACGATGATTTCAATCAATCAAACGATCAATCAATCAATATATAATTTACATATCTATAACATTATTCCATCTCAATCGCATAATTCAATCAACCAACCAGTCACATAGTCATTCAGTCAATCAATCAATTATTTTATTTATTTTTTTTTAAAACTTTTATAATACCGGTTCAGGCCTAAGGATGGCAAAACACACGCATGCCATTATTTACACAAAACATTTTAATTAACTGAAAATGAAGCTTTAATTTTTCGTATTTTATGAAAAATTTCTAACCGTGTGTTACCTATTCCCATTTATTTAGCTTCTACGGAAATACACGGTGATGGAAGAATCTTACCAGAGAACGTCTGAAATGGAGGCTAGGTTACTACAGGAACGTGATTTATGGACAGTTGAAAGATATGATCTACAAAAACGTTTGCAGGAAAACATAACTTCACGAAGACTTGAGCTAAGCAGAATTGAGGCCCTGTTTGCTGAGGTAAAGTACGATGTAAATAATATAGCCTAATAGACAAGAGTGTTTCTGTATGGAGCGCCATTAGAGCATAAAATAAATTATCATAAACTTACAGTTACCTGTTGTGTAATTACTAATAGAGCCCATTGGCACACATGAATAAACAATGGACATGTGGTAACTTTTGCAAAATACATTATAAAAAGGAATAAAGCAATAATTCGCAGAAAACATCAAATATACTAAAATATATGTAATACCTGTAGATATTATACAACAAAATTAAATTTAAATGTAGAAAAACTAACTTATTGGCTTTTGAGTATTGTTGGTAATTCATTCCATGTTATGTGCCCCATTGCAAAGATTGATTTAGCCCGAGAAACTGTACGACGAGTGCGGATATGCTGAAATTGTAGTGACTCTCTGCTACGGTAGGTACGAATTTGGAGGATTTGGGGGAATTTGCTACTGAATCAGTATAGAAAAGAAACAATATACACTAAAAGTCAATAAGTCAGCAATTTTGAAAAGATAAAGATAAAAAAAGATGTTCTTTTAATATTCTCACATTATACACTTTTTAGATGCGAAGGATACGATCTGGAGCTGGACTAAAATCCCCAACAACAGATTGTGGGTCAACGATTACTAGTCCAATGTCGGTAGGTTTTTGTACATTTGGAATGAGCTAAAACTTTGATGTGTTTTTGCACTAGCGTCATGCAAAGGCTGCACCCTTTCATCTTTTTTTTTTTCCATTTATCTGATAGTTTGTTGAATTTCTTTTTTACTTTTTGAGATTTTTGTGTTTTGAAGTGAAGGTAAAATAATGTAAGCTTGTAGTTGTTTGACACAACCTTGACTGTTAAGTAGTCATCTTCTTACACTTGGAATGCCACCTATTTAATACATTAGATTGAGAAAACTCGCAGTAGTCACAAAACCCCACGTGTAATTCATTATAGATACATAAATTAACAATTGATTGATTTGAAAAGTGTAATATTCGCACCTTTTTAAAATTCTTTCCCTTTAAAAATTTTACTACTTTCTCAAATACGTCTACTACATTTAAAAAAAAAATAGAAATGTTGGCAATAAAACCCCAAATTACATTCTTTGGTGTAAATTAAATATGATTTATTTGGAAATGGTGATAACAAGAAGACACATTTTTCAATTTCAATTCTTACAAAATTAGCTTTGTTTTCAACCATTTCTTCGTTTCTCCGTCCTTTTACTTCACTCCTTTATAATTTCGTTATTTTATTTTGTTTGCGTTTGAATTTAATCCGTTTGTGTTTTATAACAGGTGCACCAAGATTTGATAACAAATGGAACGATCGTTACAACGAACACCAATGAAACCAAAGTGAAAAACTCTGCTTCGCATGCACGTAGCAAAAGTGTTGAACGAGCCCCCTCGATAGGGGGCGCTAACAGACAAAGCAAAAGCATGGGACGATCCTATGATAAGGTTTCTCCTTCTAACTATTGTATAGAGATATCCCTTGTAAGTCCAAATAAGATGATGATTCTTCTTGGCGTCTGTTTTGTAACTATTTTGAGTATTTGAGGTATATTAACTTTGCTTTCCGCCTGTTATCACCACTAAAATTTTCTACACTCGGACGCTGACACCTTCTATATAGTTACTTTTTTTGGGTGTATTGTTTATTCATCAATACCCAATTCAAATTTGTGAATCATCTAATAAAATTTGGATCAACAATTCTGGTGCAATAAATCTTTGTCAAATGTTGTAAGTCATAATTCTATGTTCACTAGTGTTGTTCTGTAAATGTATACATATTCCATCAAAATGTTACATTGCAGATACATCATAAATAATGTGGTACTGATTATTAATTTTCTTTATTTTGAAATGTTTTTCCGTGTACACTATCCTCACCACCTGCCGCTCCTTCATTATAGAGTAAATGTTGGTATCACCTCTGTCGTTTTTCTACATTTGCATGAGCTTATTATCCTCTTGCTAAACTGAGACAACTATATAACAAACACAAAGCATGGCTTTCTGTATTTATTGATGCATCAACCTAATATAAGAAAGGCATATCAGGTTAGGTTATAAAGCTTGTGACCTATAAGTTACAGTAAATCATATTCCACGCAAGACCCACACATTTCAATTTAAAATATTTTCGCAAGGTGTTAAAAACGTGTGCTTGCATCCTTTAATATTATGTTTTAAATTTATTGATCGAAAATTTCAATGAATAGATAGACCGATAGATTGATAGATCTTTATATTATTTGATTTATTAATTGATTGAATAAATGATCTGTCTATCTAATGTTTGATATGCTTAATTGATTCATTAATTGGTCGGTTGGTTGGATGAGATTGATGGATTAATTCGAATATTAATATTGTGGTTTATGGGTAGCTCAAAAATTAAGATATCGAAGTATATTGCGATGGTGTTGCATGTGTGTAAGCACTAACTTCTGCGTCACTTGTCCATTTATTGACTACTTTCTTTATACTGCTTAGAAGCTATTACTAATATAAATTATGCATGTCCACCACTTGCCTAACAATGAGGTGAGAACCGTCGCGACGACGCGTCGTGTATGCGTCCACAGTGCCTATGTAATATACCCACAGTTACTGAAGCTCGGTTTCCATAGAATCGCTCACCCTACCAGCGACAGTCGCCGACAGATATCGAGAAGGTTGAACCTGATTAAACTTTGTCGGTTGCGTTGCAAACGAATCAGGGTGCATTGCTAGCTGCCCCGACGCAATCGGAAAGCACCCCGAATCGTCTGCAATCGGCAAAGTTGAAACAGCTTTTCGACATCTGTGGGCGACTGTATGGAAACCGAGCTTCACCAGTGGTAGTGGTGGCGCCATGATTGTGCGATGGGGGTTCGATATCCCCGCCGGGAGTGCGTAAGTAGGCGGAAGAATAACCCTTGGAAGGGGTCCAAGCGCAAAGCACCCGGTAACAACGGCAATTTGGGGTTTTGAAAGGATTAGAGCCTACTTACAGTAATCAATTTTAGGGTCTCATAAATTGTAAATATTACATCTATTTTTTTTCTCTTCAATGAATGATGTTTTTCCTCTCCGCTCTCCCTCACTTACGCCACCCCTGATACTAATATATGTGCTGCTACATAGGCCAATTCCAGATTATAGGGGTATTCTTCTCATGCTAGGTGATTTATATTCTTTTAAATGTAGCTAATTTAAGTCAGAAAAACGTTTTTTTTTTGTTTCTATTCTTTAACAAACTTGTGATTATACTACTTACCAGTTTTAGAAATTTAACATTTCTATTGGATACTAAAATTATGTAGTTAATAACTGATGTTAGGTCTAATATTAGTAGTCATGTAGTTTACCGAATTTTAAGCCATTTACCTATGTTATGTGATTTTCAGCAACCAAAATCTTTCAAATCATCGAAATATGTTTTTAATTGATTTTTAATATCATTAAACCCACCAGCTGCGTGTAGAAAGCTGCTCGATTGAAATGAAATAATACCGGTTAAATACCATAATAGTCCCCGGCTTTTCTATCGCATAAGTCAACCACCCGTTCCTATCATCTAACAAAACTAACACGTTGTTTCCTCTTTTTAACCTACCTTCTTAATGCTTCAGAGGGGAAATCTATCATCCAAAGATCGAGCGGCAAGGTAGGTGTTTGCATTTTTTTTTTATTGAAACTTAAGTCTCTTTTCTAGGCCTTGGAGCAGTTAGCTCAAGTGAAACTGGACCTGACAAGTTTTGAGGGTCAGCTTCGGGATGAATTTGCGGCTAGATTGAAAAGGTATCAATATGAAGTCATACAAAAAAATAGGCTAAGAAGCTTAATACAATTCTGAAGTATGTGTATGTATGTATGTATGATATTGGAATATATGATTACACTCGATCTTTCCAAATGGAAATTGTATTGAGCGTAATTGTAATATTACGTATTACTTAGCCTAAGAAAGATTTTAAACATAAAATAATATGATTGGCAATCCCTTAATATGTTAACATATTCCAATTTTAGAGCACGGTCACAACCCGATGTACTAGATTCGATGGTACGCGAGCCGATGTCATCTCCTTTCAAGTCATCCAGTCTTGGGCGGCCCTCCAGTCGGAGTTCTGACGGACAGCGCTGCATGCGGAGCAGATCAACCGAACGCCCGGTGGCAGAGTGGGTGTGTAAGAATGAGGACATTCCAAGAAGACGACGAAATAGACCGGTCCTTACTTCGCCAGGTCGATTTACTGTAAAAGGTATGCTTCGGGAAACCGACAGGAAATCACCATCACTGGCGATGGATGATCCGAGATACCTGGGAGGCATGATGGAAGATAGTTTTGTGCGGACAGTCAGGAAAGCACTGGAGCAGAACCAAAGCCCGTCCCGGACTACCCCTCCACTGGGTAAAACCAGAAACCGGAGTAGCTGCAGAGGCCAATACTCTGACTCTGAAATCACCGGTGGAGGTGGTAGTGATAGTGATTCAGAAAGAAGGTTTACAGATCCAGAGAATGGCTATTCGAGACCCTCGAGAACTTTAGAACGTCCATCTAGGTTTGGATCTGGTTCAGGTCTACTTGGACAAGATATAAGGAAACGCAGTATAACTAGTCCGCAGGGCTCTTCATCACCAGGTTTGTCTCCAATGCGGTCTGAGTCTAGACTCCCAAGCACACCGCCTAGTTTTCTAATCCCTAAAAAGCAAAGTATAGGATCTTCGTCTGGTACAATGTCACCATCTCAGTCAGGAATGTGCCTTATACCCGGTCTGCTACCGAAGACGAAAAGCCAAATGCAAGCGCGAGAACAGGAACGGTTACATTCACCAAACACTCCGACAGGTAACGGATTTAAAAGCTTCATTGGTAGACAGTCACCTCGAGACGATAGCAGAACTAGTTCGCCAAAGTCAAGCCAATCATCAGCACATTCATCTCCTCACAAGGTATCCGGAAATGTTTATACGCCGCAACATCAGAAAACGGAATCAGCTCAGAGAATATCTAGTGTAACAACTTCAACTAGATCAGAAACTACCACAACTGTTACATCTCAATCTAAAACCTCAGTAACTACACTACCAAATAAGAGCAAAACAAAAATTGATGTCCGTGTGAAGCCAGTTCAGAGGCGAACCGTGCCAATTGCTTCGGAGGAGGGGTTCGACAGCGGAAGTGAAAAATCGCCGGCTCCAATGCAGACGAAAGAATCTCCTCTAACAAAATTTTCTAATACGACAGCATCTTCAAAGTCTACAGCTAAGTCTAAGGTAAGGTATCACTGATATCATAAACAAATTTTATGGTTTTTATAATTTTTTTTTATATTTTAATAAAAGAAAACACACAATAGTAATTTATCCAGCTCATTCAGCTGTGAAGAATCAAGTTATGTTTTTTTAAGATTGTGAAGTTCTATTAACAGAAGATATTTCTATTAAGAAAAATGAACCACGAAATTCCGGGAATCAAAGTTAGGTATCACCAATTGGAATCAATCCATTATTACAAGTTATTATGAAATATCATTGTGTTATAATAATATATTATGAACGCACGTACGTTTAAAATTCATTACACATTGTCTCAATCATCAAATTAACTGAGTGAAACATTCTAAACTTTTTAACGGACAGTTGCTTGATTGATTTGTTTTATGGAACTTTCATTTTTGATACAATTTTGTAAACAGGGAATATACTTGCACTTTGCTTGTAATGTATTTTGCTTTTCTCATTCTCTTCAAATCCATGCAGTCCAAAGAGTCTAAACACTAACACTTCGATTGCGATGACAACCATCTTTAGTACGTGGTATACGCATGCTCTATCTGTTTGTTGTTGTTTTTCTCTCGTCAATTGTTATATCATTTTTGATAAGTCTGGGACATCTTAAAACTACGTTACATCTAATTCTTAACTTTCGTGGACATTAGGTTCCCAAATACTAGCCACGGTGGTGTTATGAGGGATCTTGTATATTGATTTTTATTCTCCTTCTATTGTCTGTATAAATTAATAATTTCTTTTATTTTTATTTTTTTAAAGAATTTGAATATTTCCATTTAAAAACCAAAATATAAGCTATATAACTATCATTCAAATGGATATAGATATTTGGTACACTTCTTGATTACTACTTTAAATAAATGAGTAAGTGATGAATGAGCGGTTGAATGAATAAACAAATGAAGAATGAAAAAATTATGGAGTGAATGAGTGTATTAGTGATTGAATGAATGAATGAATGAATGAAAGAATAAATGAATGAATGAATGAATGAAGTAATTACTTGCCGAGCCATGGGGCTCATAGCAGGGGCGGCTCTAGGATATAATTTATGGGGCGGGGGAGCAAGATGTTCGACTGGGGTGGGGCTAAGTATTTATGGGTGTAACTATAGTGCGCAGCGTTATCTGAGGGCCTTAGGCCCGAGCCGGGGTGGGTATGGGAGGGGATGTCCCTTCTTCCCAAAACGAGATAAAAAAAAATGGGGTCTTCTAGATGTTCTGCTTGACTGATCAGACCCAGACGAAGCGATTGCTGAGACAGGTTTGGATTGACGTAGGCAGTACAGAACTGGGATGGGAAAACTAGGCCTATTTGGGTGGGGGGCTTGACCAGACCGATGGGGGGGCTTAAGAATGCCCCCCCCCCCCGCTGGCGCCGCCCCTGGCTCATTCCCAGTTTCTGTAGCGTGTATGTAAGTGTATGAGAGTGTGATACTTCCCTGAGTGGGACGCTAGTCCACCGCAGGTTACTCCCAGCATTGAAACCCCCGACCTCAATGTTAGGAAACCAAACCATTACCACTGCGCCATACCGCTTCCACAATGAATAAATGAATTATTAAATGAACGAATGACTGAACGAACGAATAAACGAATTAAAAATTGAATAAACGAAGGTACGAAAAACAAGCGCCGAGACAAGTATGAGTAAGCGAACAATTGCATAAATAAATACTTGGATTAACAGCTAAATAAAGAATGTTTTTAAAGTGTACATACAACTAAAAGAATAATGTTTTTAAAAGTGTAGGCCTACATTACTGTACCGGATTTTTTTTTCATTTCACCATGGCATGAGTTTTTGGCTTCTGTTGACAATTTTGATCTAGGCCAATGTGATGTTGTTATGTTTATTTTGTTATATCAGTCGTTTTCATTATTCTAAAATCTATCTGCATGATGTTACTATTGTGCTGCATGTAATTATTATCTGTGTATCAATTATCAATGTGTATCATACCCCACGTGTCTATATAATGTGTTTTCTATAATTATACAGACAAGTTGTCGAGGGAACGGTTGCATGAAAAAGTATACATCTGTCGACTTTTATAAAGACCGAACCACATTGTGTCAACAATCAATGGGATTCCATGAAACTGCGGAGCGCGAAAGACAGTTTGTTTGGGATTTTTTCGGGATTTTTTTTAGGTTTTTGTTTTTTTGTTTTTTTGTTTTTTTTTGACAAACCCGCTAAGACTGTTAACCACGGGCATCGAACTGGAGCTGTTTTGCAAACGCTCATAGAAGGCGGAGAATTTCTTCTGTCGACAGTCTGTCGACGCATTGTGCACTAGACTTCATTAAATTTAGACTCGTAGTGTATTAATGTAAATGAAGTAGTATAACATTAGCTATAGGCCTACAAATAGGCTTAAGTCACGTTTCTACATCAAAGTTTTTCTTTGATAAGAAAGTATAATACATACGCCAAAAGAATTGAAATACACACGCCGTCGTGTTAGGACTCAAAAGTTCAACATTAACATTAGTGAAAATTATATCATCATCAAACATTTTTCTTTAAATGTGTATTCTCTGTGTTGAGGTTTAAACTTATTCTGAATTTTTAAAAAACCCCCAAATTATTTAGGCCTGTAATCCCATTAAAAGCTATTTGGTCATTTTACTAAAATATTTCTGTATTTTAATTGATTTTAGGGTGCTACAATGCCACAGAAGTAGGTCTCTATCATCACAATGTCACAGTGCCATCAATCGTTATTTGCAGTGAATTTTTGCGCTTTATAAACCATTGTCGATTGGATGATGTAAAGCAGAGAGGAATGAAAGCCATACCGTACCTCCCTGATGCAAAAAAAAATTGCTATAATAAAAAACGTCCTTCTGCGTTACCATTGCCTGACAGGCACCAGCAGACATACTGTAGGATTTTTTATTTTATTATAGGGAGACCTTTGTTAAAAATGCTAAGGAGAAGGTCCAATAAAACATTTGTCCCCCGGCAGATGGTCAAGTTGATCGAATAATATAAGTTATAATAATCTAACGAGCACACGTGTACTAATATAAAACATTCATTCGTTTTTAATAATTGTTTTTTGACTTTAAATGAATTTTTTTTTGTTAAAGTTTAATTAACTTGCTAGTACGAAGGTCGACAACAGTGTTGGCTGAAATTGGCTGAAATTATAACTTCTGTGTACTATTAATAATAATGAAAAGACATGTTTCGGCGTTTCTTTGATGTTTGTCACAGCAGCTCATTTAGATCGGTTACTGCTATCCACGCATGTGTCATCCCTTCAGTATCGAAGATAGAATTTAATTCTCTATTAGTTAATCAAAAATAATTGTATTATATTGGACACGTATTGACTATCAACCATTATGAAACCTTTAGAAAATATATTTGGAGACCGGTAAGAGTAAATAATTTTACTGATATTTTTAATTAGGTCACTCGATGATATCAGCGGCTTTGCAACACGTCTATAATTACATGTTTCTACTTATGTTAGTAAAAATGGAATTACTATTATCGTAAATATTAAATCTAATCTAACTACGTATGTGCATCTGCATAGACAGCAAAACGTCCTGATTCATATATATATATACTGTCTCTTATACACATCTAGATGTGTATAAGAGACAGGGTATATAGGCTGTATTATATATAGGCCTAGTTATCAAAATCAATTCTACTACCGCTCGTATTTCATGCATACTTTCAAAATTTCAGTCACGATGGTTTTTTTTCTTTTTCTGCGTTACCCTCACTATACAAGTAATGTGTGTACTTTTTGCATGTGTTTATTTTATTTCAAAATGGGAATCGCATTTTTCCTTTGTGAGACATAATTTATTATTGTGTACAGTAATATATTATTGTGTAAAATAGTGTTAGAAGACACTTTGTCAATATTTTCCCTTCTGTATGACGTGTGATCTCAATTATGTATTATGACAAGTTTCTGTGTTTTGAACAGTCAAAATAAAAGATGAAGTTTAAAACACGGAAAATTAAAAACAAAGAATAATTGAAACGATGATAGGCCTTGACGGGACTCTCAACTAACAACATTCTGTGGTTTTTTGAATTCGAAAAAAAAAATTATAAATTAACTTTAAATTTTCCCTGCAGCTGAACATGCAGCTGGTACCATCGCTGACGTCAAGGTTCGCTAAACCATTACCAGCCAATCGGCGACCACCTTCTCGGTGGCTACGGCAACGCACACGTGATGATGTATGTAGTGATTCTGAGATCACAGACGGGTTCTCATCTCGCAACCGAAAAAATGGCAACGGATCGAATTCTAGGAACGAGAACAGAAACGTGGTCGAACAGTTCCAGTACCCAGTGTTAAACAAAGACGAACGTGCTTTAAGGTTATTCTATAAACAGCGCCATAGCTGTGAAACTCAGGTCTAGATCAATATTGTTATTATTATTATTATTATTATTATTATTATTATTATTATTATTATTATTATTATTATTATTATTATTATTATTGTTATTTAGTTTTGTCTAAATACCGTATTTATTCAAATAAACGCCAATAGTTCCTTCTAAAACAAATGCCATTGGTCGGATTGCTCAAATTTTTATTCAAATGGTATCCATTTTACACCAACAAAAATAAACGGCTACCCTTCAAATCCAGTCTATTTAAATAATTACGGCAGTTTGAAGTCACGTATTGATTCGATTGGTGCAATCACCTCTCAAATGCAAACTGTGCCTGAACGATTATTACTGTCTCGAGCAGCCAGGCCTAAGCCTCATATTCAGTGAATCTAGTATAATTTTGTAACTTATAGTCATATAGGTATTTATTGCACCTGACTTTACATTTGTTATTTATGTTATATTTTGAATTCAGTAAGCCCTCTGGTAGTTGCAATTGAGCAATTTTAAAAGTTCAATGAGGCATATACAACAGGCCTGCCGTCTCCAGTTTTACATAGTGTTTTATTACGGTAGAATAACATTGAAGATTGTTAGTGCTCGGGTACTACAGTGTTCCATGTGAAGATATAGACCAGATTGCCGATTTCAGACTGCCGAAATTCGAATTAACAATCTCAATTCACATTAGAAACTACGAGACCCTGCATATTAGAAATTACACCTAACGAATACAAGATGAAAGTGTCCCTTAACGTTATGTATTATGTAGGCCATTATTACATAAACCACATTTTAAACCTGATTTTAAGTGTAACGTTATATATACATTGTTGAAGTTATAAGAACTTTAAGTGCCTTTGGGAGGTGATACTTAACGTGTTTTATTGTTGTTTTATTGGTTTCTTGTTTGTTAAGGATACTGGAATTGTACAGCATTAGTCGAAATCACCTTCACGAGCGCGTCATTAAAATGACACCAAAGCGAAGAATCGTAACCCGCTGGACAGGACTACTACTACATTCATTAATATTTTTAAGTGACTTTTGACAACTAAAACCATATTAAACTCATTCTGAATTGCATGTGGTTGACCAAAAATACTGCAAATAGTGTATTCCCTTTGTCGTGCATTTTCAGAGTTGGGTTACTTTACCAATGTAGGCCGCTTCAGAAAAGTATACACCAGAGCATCGACAGGTTCCTTTACTCCGGTGACCCTTAAGTATTATGACTAACATGGTGCAAATAAACATTAAACGTAATCTGTTTTATTATGTTATCGATTCAGATTTAACGTTGACTCAGAAGTGCCTGGGTTAATCAGCGGGTTGATAGTGTAGAACTATGCAAAGTACCTCTAGGCTTCCGTAGACGATAACCGTTTAGAGAAGACGGAAGTTCGCGATGCGAACCGATCTCACAACGATTCTTTTTTAAATATTACCATAAATATGAATTTTATTTTGAATATTATGATGTAAAATCTAAGTTAGGAAGATGTTTTAACCTGTGTTATTTTGTTGCAGTGACTTCTTGGTGTTTTCCTAGTTATTTTATACCATATCTACCGCGCATTCGCAGTCAGAACATACAACACTTACCGGTATCGTGTTTTTTTTTTTTAAAGTTTGTAATGAAATATGATTATTTTAATTTTTTTTTAATGAAAAAAATAACTTAACAATGTATGTATATAATCATAATTCATAATTCTCTAAATACGGTAGCTTATTAAAGTAAGGGATATTATGCATAATAGAAGGAAATTCTATTCCTATTATTATTACAGTGTTATTATTAATATATTGTTCTAATTATTATTATTATTATTAATAATAATATATTGTTCTAATTATTATTATTATTATTAATAATAATATATTGTTCTAATTATTATGATTATTGTACTTACTGTGGCTGTTTATTCTTATTATTACAGTATGTATGACTTATTTCCAGGATGTTGACTAATCGAGTTGGCTTTAATTAATGAAATAGGCCTATGATTATTTTAATTTTTTTTAATGAAGAAAAATAACTTAACAATGTATGTATATAATCATAATTCTCTAAATACGGTAGCTTATAAGAGTAAGGGATATTATGCATAATAGAGATAAATTATATTCCTATTATTATTACAGTATTATTATTATTATTATTATTATTATTATTATTAATATATTGTCCTAATGATTATGATTATTGTACTTATTGTCGCTGTTTATTTTTATTATTACAGTATGTATGACATATTTCCAAGAAGATGTTGACTAATCGAGTTGGCTTTAATTAATTTTATATTCGAACTTTATGCCTAGTGTCTCTGGATGGGGAAAAATCGTTTATCGATATGTCTATATATGTTCATATATTATTTATTTAAAATTTATATTACATAATTTAATAATCACATACCATATGTTAATATAGTATACTTCGTATCGTTTAAGGTGATTCTATGAATATTGATATTTAATATAGCTAATATGTGTTGATTTATAATCTGTGTGTGGTAATAGATGTGTATTGTTGTAGATGTTATCAATAGCATGTGTGTGTGTGTACTTTGAACTGTGTGTAATAAATAGTATAAAATGTGTGATACAATCACTGCGTTTACCGGTTATTATAACAACGGATGTTTTGTGTTGTACATAGGATTGATGGATCTGTGATCCAACAATTACATAGGATTTTAAGACTCAAATATGTACTTTTTGGAGTGGTTATATAATTAACCTACGATGGTCGAATATAATAATATGGTGTATCTTGGAAGATAGTAACCATGTCGTATCTCACTCAACTCGTTTTAATAAACTCGTGTGACATTAATAATAGGCTGGTTCCATTGATATTTTTTGTTCTCTCTATTATTTGGATTTATTATGTATTATTTATATTTTTAGTATCTATTTCCTTATTATTTATATTATTGTGTCCTCTTAAAATAATGGATACAACATAGGTGGACAACTCGTGAACGATTTTGATTGATTTCAATATTTGTAAATTACTTTGTGATGTGATGAAGTTTCTGACTCTCTTAGACTCTTCCTACCAGAGGTTGCCCGGTGTCACTCCTATTTAGGAAAACAAACAACCACAATTAATTGAACTCAAAATTTTGTATTAACTGCACTATTCACCACTTTGCTTCATTTTTAACAGTTCACAGAAGAGCGAAATATTTAAGGATAAGGTAACGCCAGAAAAAAACAAAACAAAACAAAAAACGTGGTTTAACAGTTCTTGGCCTAACCGACTGATGTGTGAATACAACACATTCAATGCTTAGCTTTTATAAACGAAGATTAAGCGAATATGTGATAAGTTAATCAATCAGGTTATATATTTTGTTTATATCAATAATAATAATAATAAATAATAATAATAATAATAATAATAATAATAATAATAATAATAATAATAATAATAATAATAATAATAATAATAATAATAATAATAATAATAATAATAATAAGAATAATAATAATAAGAATAATAATAATAATACCGGTACATTATTTTAAACTCACAGTCTAACTCTAAAAAAATAGAAATTGAACAGCAAGGAAGACGGGGAGATACAAAGACAGGTATAGAAATTTCTCCAGACCCGCCACTATTTCCATTTCTACCAAACGTTCAACAACTGTTGCCATTCCTTCTACTGCTATTCTTTTTTCCGCCATCCCTTCTTCCAGACCTTCCACTGTTTCCATAACTTTAGTTAGGCTACATGGGGGAACGGGCCTAAGGCCTATATTTGATGAATCATAATTTACCTTGGCTTGGTGAATTATTACTATTTCCATTTGCGCCCTCTAGTGGTGAAAAATATGATACTATAATTGGCCTCATAGCTTAGTTGGTACTTGTACTAGGTATTTATTTTGCGTCTTTCCCTTGCGGTTATGAAGCGCAAGCCAAGCCTCAATAATTCAGGAAAAGAATGGTAGACATAAAATCAGTGATTATTCAGGAACCCAATGCATCACACAAACAACAAAGACAAATAAACAGATTACAACAATAAAACACAAAATGAAAGAGCGGCAAAGGAGTGGCTTAGGCAAACAAGTAATTCTTGAGAGCACGTTTAAAAAGATTAGGATCTGAGATGTCTCTAATGTTAGTTGGAAGATTATTTAGAAGCATAACAAGGAAATGAAAACCTCCAATTCTCTTGTAACGTGGTATAATGAAATGTACAGATGAAGAGGAACGTGTTAGATGGTATCTGAACGGTAATTGGAAGGTCTTGAGTTCAAATCCCGTTAGGGACATACGTTCTTTTTTTTCCAAATATTTATTATCATCGAGAATTAAAAGTTATTTCGAACGAAGCGGGAATGTGCGTGATTCACCTGAACCCTAAATCTCCAGGTATTTAGATGTCTTATTTAAACATATAGATCGTTTAGGACCTTACAGTACCTTCAGGGCCGGCGGAACGTTTTTCAAAGTGGGGGGGGGCCCACTTATAAGCAGGCGCGTAACAGGGGTCTTGGGTCAGGGGGGTGGCAGCAAAGGTAATAATTTTCCCGGTTAGTAATTTATAAATTGATGTGATACTTACCCCCTCCCCCCACATAGAAAACAATACGACATAGGGCTTATTTTATTATTACACACGTGTGTTTGAAACTAAATATAAGCATTTTCATAGTGGTTTTATTTATTACAATCATAGGCCTATTCTTTCACCATCATTACACATTGAAGCCCTTCTTTTAGGTAAAACGATCTATCTTAAATTTTCTTTGTCAAGTTTGGGACTATTATGTTTTTAAATAACCTAGAAGGCAAAGGAGGGCAAGCACAATCTTTGGACCTAACAAATGCGCGCGAAGTGCGCTAAAAATTTTTGTGTTTTTAATTCTAATTTCGTCGGAATTGATTAAAACTCCCTAAATATGGAATTTTTAGAGGAAATTGGCCTACCTCAACAAGAAATGCTCTTATGTTATATATGGCCACACTCGTTTTTTTAAACTGAATATAAGCATTTTCCTTATGGCTTTATTTATTACAAACATATTCTTTCAACATCATTACACATTGAGGCCCTTCTTTAATAGGTAAAACGATCTATCTTGAATTTTCTTTCTTGAGTTTGGAACTGTGTTATAACTTAGAAGGCAAATGGGAGCAAGCACAAGCTTTAACATGAAAAATGCGGGAACAGTCTGCCCCCTGCCCCGCCTGTTACGCCACTGTTTATAAGATGAATGGGAATATGAATCATGCAGATCTGGAACTTAACTTGTATTCAGTTGAATTATAGTTTTGGAATAAAAATTGTTATATAGAGTACATGCAGTAATCTCAATAAGTCAATTTACATTTAATAATAATTTACATTTAAGGTACTGTATTAGGCCTATTATTTTTCACCCTAGTGGTCCCCCACGTCCCACTTTGCTACTAGATGATGAAGATGTTGCATTTGAAGTTTCATCTTTTTTAATGGGTCAAGTCTACTGGCTAGGCTACACTATACACAGCTATAGGTTTGAATTGACATTCGTCGTCTGAGTGCCGTTGCACATACACTCTGACCTACTCAATCGCTCTATTCTTACAATTGACATTAATAAAATTACATCAATAATGATTGAGGTAAATTCACTCGATATCATTGGCTCTGAGTGCAACAGAGTGCTATACTCGTTATTTGCAAACAGTGCGCCATGCGCCGGAATAATATACATCAATTGAAATCACCGGAAGTTCACAAACACGTGCGTGTCCAATTGTTGGAGAACAATCATCGGTACGCCTGTTTAACTCATGCATAAGTGTACTATAATAAAGTTAAATGATCCACACGGTTCCTAACAATTTCCTGATCTTGTATTAAGAATTAACAAAAACCAAATGATGGTGGTGTTGATGATGAGGATAATAATAATAATAATAATAATAATAATAATAATAATAATAATAATAATAATAATAATAATAATAATAATAATAACAACAACAATAATAATAATAATAATAATAACAATAACAACGATAAAATAATGATCACAAAAGCAATAAATAAAATAATAAGTACCAGGCTCATTACCACACCACATCGTTTAGAACACGCACATACTATAAGATAAGATAAGATAAGATAACATCATTTATTGTCCAATAAAACAACTGGAAATTTGTTTTCCTCTGGCAATACAATACACAAGGCAAGATTAAGGTTAAAATACAATTGGTAAAAATATTTGAAACGTCACACGAATATCTAAAATCGATCCATTAAAATTCTATGGAGAAAATACAACCACCATGTACAGGCTGGCCGGATTAGTCACAGTTGCTCAAGAGAAAATAAAATAAAAATGATAATCATTAAGAAAAAAAAAGAAAAGAATCCTCAAATGTAGTAGACAACAGATGCCTCCTAAGAGCCTTCTGAAACAAAGAAGTAGACTGGCTTGGCCTAGATCAAAATATATTTCTTTATTATATTCCAAAGTTGCCGCAACCGCAAATAACCTATCGCCCCATGAACGTGTGGACAGGACTCAGGCAGGAGTTTTCCACTAAGTCTTAATATTGATATGTACCATATCTACAGTTCACGAGGATACCCCGGACAATCAACGCCTTAAAAAGAAGCATAATAAGCAAAATCTTGAAAATGTTTCTAAAAGAAACAGTGGCGAATCCATGAATTTGACTGACTGACTGAATGAATGAATGAATGAATGAATGAATAAATGAATGAATGAGTGAGTGAATGAATGAATGAATGGGAAGAATATATGAATGAATGAATTGAATGAATGAATGAATGAATGAACGAACGAACGAATGAGTAATTGTCCGACTGACGCGCCGACTGCCTGCCTGACTGACTGAATGAATGCTGAAACAATGCCTTATGAACTGCATTATTTGATTTTCTCTAACCAACATTAAATTATCGCATTACTGAACCTATATATTATTGCATTACTGAACCTTGTATATAATAATTATATTTCAGAATTATTGTAATAAATATAACTATAAATATAAAAATAATTTAATTAATCTTTATGACCTTATAAAAGTAATGAATAAAATTGATGTTAACTATAATGATAACAGTATTGACTTGGAATATTTTTGTAGGTAGCATTTTTCTATTTCAGTAATAATAATAATGAGGAAGTGGTTTGGCGCAGCTGGAACAGTTTGGTTTCCCAACCTCCAGGTCGGGGTTTCAATCCCTCGCTGTGCATTTCGCTTGTGTCCTTGAGCAAGGCACTCTTACCTGCAATTTCCCCCATATACATCGTTCGAATGACTGAGGTATTAATATGGAAAAGCGCTCTGAGACTTAGTTGTACAGAGCGCTATATAAAAACCTACATATAATTATAATTATATTATATCAATAATAATAATAATAATAATAATATTAATAATAATAATAATAACAATTATAATAATAATAATAATTAATAATAATAATAATTAATATTAATAATAATAATAATAATAATAATAATAATAATAATAATAATAATAATAATGGTATAATGCGTAATCAAAATGATATGTTTTAGTAATTATAGCTTATGAGATGGCAGTTTTCGAGATCCATTGATTAATTATAATTAGAACTTGAAGTTTCCGACAATCAATACATTATTCTGTTAGTACACGATTTATTTTGGTCAATCATTATCGTCCTTTGTCTGTGTCCGGATGGCAGTGATAAAAAAAATCCTTGAAAATGTTTCAAGAGAAATGGCGGCTTTTGTTAATCGGCGCATCTTCGTTGTCCGCTGATCTTTTGGCAGATCGTGGCGCTATTGTTCCTGTCACCCCAGCTGCAACTAGTAATTATTGGACTTACATTAGACTTATATTTTTTTGGTTAGGTTTTGTTTTGGTAGATACTTTTAATTGTCCTATTTTTTTAAACGAATCATGAACACAAGTAACCTAGGATAGGTTGGCCCATGTCACACACGATAATGACAACTGTGGCGAACTGTACATGCGATAGCATGAATGAATTAATGGAGTTTATATTGTGACGTGTATATGACGAATGTCCTACTTAGTTACCAAACAGTTTCAAAGATATACTGTCTGTGTGCTGAGCTAATAAAATTAAATATTTTAATAACTTATTTGTATATCAAAGTAATTATACCGTATTAATTTTAAATTTCAATTTATTCAGATAACCTCCAGTAAGGAGACATATACATAGACAATCGAATCAATAAAATTACGTTAAAAACAAATTACATACGGTATAACAAATTGACATTACACTCACTAAGTAATCTTCAACTATAAATACAAACAAACATACATTTTCCCAATAATAATTAGACCCGCAGTAATCCAATGCTTGCCTAATAGGCCTATTCTTCTCTTTCATTTGGGTTTTGGTAGTAAATTTGATTAAAATAAAAAGAGATTTTTTTTTCTGCCTTTGTCTTATGGAGTTGATGTCTTATTTGATCTTTATAGATGAGTAATTGTTGAGTGTCTTTATGATTGATGACAATAGCAAAACTGATAAAAGATTACACTATTCATAATACAGATGATCATAACGATGATGATCAGGTGATACTGATGATGATGATGATGATGATGATGATTATGATGATGATGATGATAATTATGATGATGATGGTGATGATGATGACGATGATAATGGTGATGGTGATACTGATGATGATGATGATGATGATGATGATGATGATGATAATGATGATGATGATTTTGATGACGATGAAACTGATGATGAGGATGATGTTGATGATAATGATGGTGATGATGATGATAATGGTGATGATGATAATAGTGATGATGATGATGATGATGATGATGATTTTGATGACGATGAAACTGATGAGGATGATGTTGATGATAATGATAATGATAGTGAGGATGTGGATGATAATAATGGTGACTATGATGAATATGAATATGATGACCATGCAAAATAAGAATGGCGATGATGTGATGGTGATTATGATTAGTGGCAGGCTATGAGGGTATGGTCGTATTTTACCAAAAGACTCTTTTAAGCATTGCAATTACGGTACTATAGAGAATATGTTCATGTTAGTAGTATTAAAAAGGGGAAAAAGTAAAAAGTTAAAAAGGGGACGTTAGCTAATGAATCGACAATATAACTTAATTTTTTCATCCGTCCTACCTATAAAATGTGTGTATAGTCCTATGATCAACGTAACCGCTATATTAGCTACAACAGTTAGGCCTAAATTAAACCAATAAACTAGGACTTTTTAAGCTATCTTGCATATATGTTATAATATTCAGGTATTGTTTCTAATATCAGAAAGATTTCCTTTGTGATGCACCATGAAGTTAGTTTGATCATGGATAGCTCAGCCCAATCACACATAGGCAATCCCAACCGCTTATTAGGCTTAAGTATATCATCTTAATGTATTTTGAATAACGGCAAAACAACGTGCATTTGATCTTAATGCCTCGCTTATCACTGACGATGATCAACACGAGAAACCGGAGGAGAGAAATCTAAATCAAAATTGTTTCCGTACCGTGCACTGTCGCATGCAAGTAATACTACCGATATGATTAAAGTAAACATAGACATTTAAAGATGAGAAGCGATTCATAATTCCATTTGATCTTTATTTCCAAGCATTGGAATCAATTTGGGATATTTTTATATATTTCATTATTATATAAAATATACATGACATATACCTTGGGTAAAAAAGTCAATAGGCCTAATTTTAATTCTCAAAATATTATATCGTGTTATGTTATATGTCTATATTCTTTACAAAAATATTACACGATATTATATAGGCCTATTAATATATATACTGTCTCTTATACACATCTAGATGTGTATAAGATATGTCCATTTTATCAATCTTCTCAAAGGCATTGGAAAGACTTTCTCATTTATTTCTACAAACAGTTTGGTTTCAGGATAAGTCATAGTACATCCATGGCCCTCATTGTTCTAACAAATAATATACCGTAGTTAATGCTTAAACCAACATCTTGCAATTGGTATTTTTATAGATCTTTCCAAGGCCTCTGATACAATTGATCACAATATACTTTTGTATAAATTATTGCACCACTACAGAATACGTAAACCCGCACTTGATCTCTTCAAAAGGTACCCCTCGAATCGTGCCCAACGTACCAAAAATTGTATTTCTATATAAAACTTCAGCACAATCACATGTGGATTACCCCAAAGTTCATTGCTGTGTCCTCTCATGTTTATTTTATAATTATTAACGAAATCCATCTGTCCTCTAAGTTGCTCAATTTCTTTCTCTATGCCGATGATACAACGGTTACTATTCCAAATAAAATATTCAATCATTATTCGATACTATTAACTCCGATTTGATTCCCATGTCCCAGCACTTTTCTACGAACAAACTTTCAGTCAATAACAAAAAAATGAAGCTTACAAGTATCGATTTTTCAGTCTCCAAAATTTGATGCAGATAATCATGCACGAATACCCTCTGTTCATTCAGTAACTTTGGTATCGTTATTGTTCAACATTAAAAATGCAATCGCAGCCAGTGGCTGAATTAGCATATTGTTATTACAAAAGAGTAAAAATTACATTGCACAACAAGATCTAACCTAATTAAAATATAGAAATACAAATGAAATCATTTTGCAAACATCTTCTAGGGACCTGGACTTATTTCCAAATTTTTGTACTACTTTGTATTTGGAATTTTGTATTTTCTTGTTGTGCCTTTGGAAGAAAATAAACGTTTTGTTGAGTTGAAAAAAAAAATTAAAATTATGTTATAAATTGTATCAAACATAGTTCATCAACTAAAGTGCCTTATTTTAGTTGTATGAAAAAAAAGAGGTCTCTGGTAAAATCGTGTATATTATATAATTTGTTTGCACTTGTCAGCATTTTAGAAATGCAGTATATTTTAATATATACATTCTACTAATGTCATAT